TAAAACGTACCGTCACAGGAATCATCTGAGAAACATTGGTAGGTTTGATATCGGTTCATGCAGATTTTGCCAAGGGAGAAGTGAGACGTCCCCTCATAGTCGATGTAAATGTGAGGTCACCTCCAGAATCAGACACCAAGTGCTTCGCAAGCATTTTACTACGCCAGATACAATATGATGCTCTGACGCATAGAAAGCGGCGGGATTAATAGAAATCCTGAAACTGGAAGGCTAGGGGCATGGGCGAGCACAATAGATCTCCTAGGTCACGGAACGTCTTGCCCACTTAATTAATTAATTAGTTCGCCAAAGCTTATAATCAACTCTGTATCATTATTCTCTCCATACATCACCGTATACTGCCACTATCAAAATGACAATTCATCACTCTAATGAATATATCTTATCGCTACCAGCCGTAACGAAAAAAAATACGTAAAATGCTGTTATTAAATAATCTTGTGATTTTGAGGAAAATATATACATCAAACGGAATGGTTCCTTTCCTCATGTTATGTTATATGGTAGTAGAGGAAAATTGAGACCGCCGGAAAAGGAGTCTTCTAAGACGTAGAAAGATTGTGTGGGGCGCTTGAAATCATCTTACGTTATCAGAAAATACGCAAAAAATTGTTTAATATATTTAGCAACAATGCGAGTACATTATACATTTTATTATACGTAGATTTTTGCAAAAGTTTCAAGTGCCAAAAAAGGCTTTTTGGATTCATTTTAAGAAAAATTGGTGCGAGTAACTTTTTTTTATGCTTTCCATGTTCTTGGGAGGCGCTGTTGTTGGACAAACGATGGTAGGAATATTCTTAATATTTTTTGAAGAGTATGGATACGTAGACGGAACCCAAATATTAGTTTGGGGAAAAAGAAATCCATTATTTTTATATAAACTTCAGGGCTTTATTTAACATGCTTCGGATTGTTCGATTTGGGTCAAATATGCACCGTTTTGTTGTATGATTTGTTGCCATTTTAAAGGTAACTTCAAAATGCCTCTCTCATAAAAGTCCTGGTCTCTATTTGCAAAAAACTCCAGTAGTCGATTTTCACAATCCTCCCTAGATTCCAATTTTTTATCATTAAAGAAATTTTGCAATGCAAGAAAAAGATGATAATCGCTTGGTGCCAAGTCCGGACTGTATGGCGGATGCATTAAAACTTCCCAACCAAGCTCCCGAAGTTTCTGGCGAGTCACTGTAGATGTGTGTGGCCTAGCGTTGTCCTGGTGGAACACGACACCTCTCCTGTTGGCCAATCCTGCCCGTTTCTGGTCAATCGCTATCTTCAAACGGTCCAGTTGTTGACAGTAGAGATCAGAATTTAGCGTTTGGCCATATGGAAGCAACTCATAATAAATAATCCCCTTCCAGTCCCACCAAATGCATAGCAAAACCTTCCTGGCCGTTTGAGGTGCTTCACCGCTCATTGACCACGATCGTTTTCGCACAGGGTTATCGTATGTGATCCATTTCTCATCTCCAGTCACCATCCGTTTAAGAAATGGGTGTATCTCATTCCGTTTGGCCAAGGCTTCGCAGATGGAAATTCGATCCATCATGTTTTTTTCTGTTAATTGGTGTGGCACCCAAACATCGAGCTTCTTTTTGAATCCAGCTTTGTGTAAATGGTTTAAAACTGTTTTATGATCGATTTTTAGCTCCTGGGCGATATTACGACTGCTAACATGCCGGTCAATTTCGATCATTTCTCCGATTTTATCGACATTTTCGACGACAGGCCTACCTGTGCGAGGTGCATCTTTAACATCAAAAAATTGGCTGTTAAAGTATCGGAACCATAAACATCATTCACAATTTTAGCCGCCTGGCTTGCATTTTCGCCTTTGTCAAAGAAAAACTGTAAAATGTACCGAATTTTCTCCTTGTTCACTTCCATTTTTAACACGCTGTAACTCACAACTGAATGCACCAAACAGAAAACAGCAAAAGAATTTTTTTTACTGCGAAATGTACAGTATCGGAAATTGTTTGATCGATACTTTACGAGAAATCTATCAGTGCAGCCATCTACTGAAAAAATAATGCATTTCTTTTTCCCCAAACTAATATGTTTTCGCAGAAAATGAAGAACGTTTTATAAACAGCAATATCGAGTATAGCCTGAATAAAATAGTGGCGACTTAATCTACATAGGTACATATTTATTCGTAAGTTTTGCGACCATATGAAAATTACTTCAGTAAACTTTTTTTTTCCTGAATCACGACAACTTATTTTGAGGACAGTGTCGACGTATTGGTGGATGTCTCCATCAACTTAGATCAATAAGTAAAGAAATAAGAACTGGCATATCTTCTGCATTTTCAAATTGAATTCTATTAAAATAAAAGAAAAAATAACAATAAATCTGCCTTCAGGGGTTTTGTGAAAATTAAAAACTTGCCTTTTATTTATATAAAACCAAACTAGGATTGACCTGAAATTCATTTTAAAACATTATACATATTTATAGGTAAATTCATATATTAATGCGTTAACATATTATATTACAAAAAATAGAATGATATGTGTACTAAAATTCAAAATTAAAGTTCGCAATTCAAAGTTTTCTTAAGAAACGACAATATGAAATTATATCGCTTCATTTTGTTTTATGAAAAATTTTGCCTAATTTTGTTTTTATTTACGTTTGCATGATTTTGCCGATTTTCTCCCTTAATAATTGTTGGATGGTCTTTTGAAAGCGTCTTCTATTATCGATTTGCTTCGGGAGCAAATTGTGTGTGTCGAATAACTCTTTTCTTTCTTTGCCTTCATTTTTGCAGCTGCACCGACAAAAAGAAAACAAAGATTAAAACTAAAAAAAAACTAAAATAATAAACCACATATGTGTACTTACTTGCGTTTCTTATCTGTACTCGGCATATCGTTCTTATGCGGTACATCTATTACACCGGGGTTTCTAAATGCACAAAAAAAAATATTACAAAAAAGAGAAAATTGCAATTTAAATGTTTACCCATCGCTACTCTACTGGCAGAACTAACCGCATTACAACTGGATTTTGACCTTAGAGCTAAATCACAACCATTATATACTAAAATTAGCTAATACAACCAAATTAAAAAATACTTACATTTGTTCCGTTATTATATAATTATTAAATAATGACAATCACGTTAATAAATCTCTTAAGTTTTAATTTACATTTATTATTTATATTTACCTATTATTTTCCCCATAATTAGCTAAACTAAAAACAACAGCAACTTAAGCAAGGGGGAAAACACGTATATGAAAGTTAACTTTCGTTCGCGGCTTAACTGATAGTTGGTAAATGTTCTTGCCCAGATCGCGTAAGGTTTTCGTGACATTTTCGTTTCGTTGATATCATTCATAAATGGCGAAGCAGCAAAAAGAAATTTTTGGTTATATTTAATTTTGGCTGTCAAAATGCGAAGAAGAGTAGCTGGTTCTCCTCTTTGATAAATAAACAAACAAACTAATTATTAATGGGCGAATATTTTGTGAATAAATTAAAAAAATTGATTATACGCCGACTACTTATATATATTACGTAGTTTTTATGAAGTGAAAAAAATTAAAATTTATAACAAATGGAAAAAAAAAACTGCATAAAGGAAAAATTTATCAATTAATTATAACAAAGAAGTGTGTAAGTAAATAGTTTTTAGTGCATTTTTATACCCTTCACCGAAGGATGGGCGTATATTTTCGTTTTGTCAAAATATTTGCAACGCCCAGAAGGAAGCATCAGAGATCCCACAAGGTAAATATATTTTTGATCAGCATCAAATTCCAAATAGATTTAATCATGTCCGCTTGTCCGTCTGTGCGTTTGTCTAATGTCTTTTGTAAACATTCTCCTGACCATAAAAAGAAAGCTATCGTCTTCAAATTTAGCGGAAACATTGAAAGTTCTTGCATGCAGATTGATGTTGAAAATAGGCCAAATTGGGCAAAGGACACGCCCACAGAACCAAGTAAACTAACAACACCTCTGTTTTTCAAAAGGAATGAAAATGATTCCAAATCTTTTTGCAAATTTTTAGGCGATATTTTCGTTTTCGCTAACGGAAAAATGTTTACCACAAAAACTACAAAGTTGGGCAAACAGACAAATGGATAGATGGAAAGGTGAAAATGTTTAGGTGCATTCAAAATGTGAAACTGGCCAAGAATTTATATACTTTATAGAGTTTTTGAAGCTTGTTTTTGCATGTTGTAAAGATATTGGAAAAAAGCAAAGAAATTTTTATATACTTTAATATAGGATTGGCCTGATCAACTTTTTCCATTTTTATGCACGAATGATACAGCATTGCCCATAAAATAAGCGTTTTAATTTTTGTACATTTATTTGCTATAGTTTATGAGTCATGAGCAAAAAACCAATTTTTCATTCCTTTTGAAAAGCAGAGGTGTTCTCAGTTTTCATGGTGCTATGGGCGTGTCTTTCGACCGATTTGGCCCATTTTTAATACCAACCGGCGTGAAGGACTTTCTAATATTTCTGCTTCATTTTTGTGGTCCAGAGAATGTTGGCAACAGACAATAGACAGATGAACAGGCGGTCTTACTTAAATCGATTTAGAACTTCCATCTGGGCGCCGCAAACGTTTTGACAAAATGAATATACCCCTCAATCTTCGGTAGTAGGTATAATAAGCGGAGGTGAAGAAACAAAGCAGCTAAATTTTTCTTTTTTTTGTGTATTTTCAAATTCAAAAATGAGCATTTAAAATAGAAAAACACAAGACTAAACTTTCAAAATGTTCTTTTACCTTATTTTTAAATTTCAATTTTTTATGTTTTACTTTTATCTTTTGTTTATTGTTTGCATTTCTTTTGTTTTATTTTAAGTACATCGATATATATATAACGTAGACAAAAGAACGAACAGTTAAAACAAAATAGTAATAAATCTTCTATTTTTAGAGTCTAAATTTTAATTTTGGAACTCTTTATTTCCAAAATTCGCATTTCATTTTTGCTTTCGGGAAGTGGATTGATAAAAAAGAGACAAATATAAAGTTTTCTTTTTAATTTTATATACGTATGTGCAGATGCACATATATGTTAGTAATAAATTGAATAGCATTATCCAATTTTATTAGCTTTAATTTGTAAACTTCCTTCTTCCAAGATGATATATAAACAACCTAGAACGTTATACCTACAAACAGACACTCTCGTTGATTTGCTTATGGCAGACGACGAACATTCAATCGATATCTTCACAAATTACACCCAACGAAACAGCACTAACTCGGAAATATTTGCCAGCTTCATTAAGCTGTCGTTGTTTTGGCCCAGTTGCGCTGAAGGCTAGTTTATCGAAGCAGAAAGCCAATTTGTGTCTACTACGTATAGAAATCGCCACCCAATAATAAGTACAAGGAATTGAAAAAACTTTTAATTGAGAGATACATTCTCAGCGAAGCCTTCAGGTTGGATAAAGTTCTGGCAGTCCAATGCATAGGTGATCGAAGAGCTTTGGAGTCAGTTATGCATATCAGCTGGTTCCATATTAAGCACAGACTTGCTTAAAATGCTGCAAATTAGAAAGTTACCGAAGAATATTAAGGATATAAAGGATCTAGCAAAACCAGCAGATGAAATTTGGGAATTTATAATCCTCGAATCCAATAGGAATTTGGATAATGCATTCTGCCACCTATTTATATTTGGTACGACAAACAAACTGAAGTTTTTAATCGATAGCGGGGCAGCGATGTCTATCCTTCCCTCTTCAAAATATCACTGTCACAAGAAACGATCCGCTTTTACAATCGATACATTTGGTAAGAAGCTCTCTAATATTAACCTAAATTTGCGACGCGAAATTCCCTATATATTTTTAATCGCAAATATTTCTAGGTGCTGGTTTCCAGAATAAATGTGGTTTACTGGTTGATATTAAGCAAAAACGATTAGTAGATCCTTTGACTAACTCGTCCGTTGATGCGATAACAATGCAAAATTTGCAGCGTCACGCTATCTACATTATTTTCCTTAGTAAATAAGTATACTAATTTACTAAAACAAAACCCTTCCTTAACAGCCGAAATTATTCAAAATCAATTAAGCATTCAAGTATACACAAATTAACTACTATAGGGGTTCTTCCGTTTTGTAAACCCAGACGGCTTGATGCTAATAAGTATAAAGCTGCTAAAATGGAACTCGATTTTTTGTTTAAGCCGCGAATCTGCAGACCTCCAAATTCATCAGTCTCATCTACTTTCTATATAAAGATCCAAACGGTTTGCGTCCTTTTCAGGGATTTTAGCCGTTAAAAGCCTGTCATGGTGTCCGGCCGGTACCCTTTACAATATGTTCAAGATCATCAACAAACCAAAAAACAAATTGTTTTTTAAATTGGATTTAGTAAAAGCTTATCATCAAATTCCAAAAGCTCTTCAAGGCATAAAACCGCAGTAGCAATACCAAAGATTTGTAGATGAAGTTTTTCGTGGTTTAGACTTTATTTTCGTGTTCATAGAGATACGTCTCATTGCCAACCAGAATGAAATTGAGCATTTCCAACGTTTAGGCATAAACGATTAGATGTATATGGGCTCATTATCAAATCTAACAAATGCATTTTGGGGTTACAAATATCAGTGTAGTTTTGTGTAGTCACAAGACCACTACTTCGCTATGCCATGTCCAATCAAATGGTATCATTGAACGATTCCACAGACAGCTTAAAGCAGCAACTTTATGTAGAGAAGAATCTTATAAATAGATCGAGGAGCCCCGTGTCGTGCTTTTAAGTTTAAGGTCGGTAAACAAAAAGGACGTTTCAGCCGTACCCAAAAATGGTCCATGCCCAAAATTTACGACTACCTGGAAAAATCATTGCAACTTGTCCCACAGTAGAACCGTCAGATTTTTTTAAACAAAATACGAGAACATTTCAAACACGTGTTGTCCAGTATAACGCATCACAAAGATCCGACGTGCATGCTCAATAATCCAGAACCCTTAAAAGAGTGCGCAAAATAAACATTTACATTACAATTAGAAAAAACGTATTTGCTCGTTTTGAGATAACGTTAACGAGTCGGAAGTATGCCGCAAAGCCGCGGTTGTCACTCTTGTCCCCCTGAATGAACGAGCATAAACAGAACTTACGATAAATTGTACCGGAAATGTGTAAATAGGTTAACATCGCCTAATTTAGCTCCATATTTAAAAAAAGAAATTGTACTTACTTTTATCAAATTTTTGTTTTTCTTTCTTCACAATTCACAAATGTAATTTCAGACACACATTACTTTTTTAAAATTTTTGAATTTACAATTCATTTCCTAACGGTTGTTTATAGTTTTCTTTTACAAATAGTTTTCAGCAAACACAACTCTAAAATAGAGAGTTTTGGTGATTTGCTTTGTTTTTACTCCATACTATTTTTCTCTACCTGGTGAAGTTTTTGGTATAATTTGATGACATTTCCCCATATAAAATGAGTTAATTTGACCCACAACTTTTGTTGAATCACCACAGTCCCGATAATTATTACAGGTAACTGAAATTTGGCACAAATATTTCTTGATCGATTAAGAATCCAATGCTAAAAGATGGGGGCGATCTGCTCACATATGCGTCTACGGAAGATCCTCGACATCCTCGATAGAATACAGGTAGTTTTCGATCCTGACGAAGTATTCTTTAAAAAGCTGTTACCCAAATGTTCGTTGTCTTTTTGGAATGGAAATGCAATTTAATGAATAAATTAGTTGCATTCTGCATTCTGCGCACACGTCAATAGGCGAATGTTTAACAGTCTCAGAAATTGTGCCCACGTTTGGAATCACCACCAGCTAGAAAAACTTCTAATAAAATGGTAATTTATTGAAAATATTGGGTTTTCCTTAAATTTTTAAAATTATATTATGTATTGTTAGTAAAATGAAAGCAAAAAGCTTTGAAGCCCTTTGATTATATCCGCCAGCCTTTCATAACATTTGTAACAAGTTTTATTTTAACATTTAAAATTCGAGTTTTCGCTTACGCGCTATTGTAAGCCGATCACGTTCTTTGTCAAGCCGGGTCTGTTTTCATGACAAATTTACATGGTTATGAAAATTAATTATCGTCATCACTCTCATCAGAAATTACAGTTAATCTATTTTTTTCCTCAAATTTGGTTGAAGTTCCTCTTCACTAGTTATTTTTCCACCATTACAAAAGTTATCTGACATAGTTGCAATTAACTGTCCGTTTCGATCTTACAATCCTTTCAAACTTTTTCTACAAGAAGCTAAAGAGTTTAGAATTCTCTTTTAAATTTTCCACTACGTACTACTGAAACAAATTTTTCAGCAAACAAATTTCCTAAATTGATCCTAAAGCTATTCCTTCTTGCAGATGAATTGAATTTAAATGAGCAAATATTGTAATGTTTGCGGAACCATTGGTGTAATTGGAAGTGGAGCAATTTAGTAGTTCAGTTAGTTCTTCCTCATTTTAAGTTTGTTTTCGAAATAGTTCCCGAACATCATCAAAGTTCATATCTGAAAATTCGTCTCCTTCTAAATTAGAAGCAACCGATATCATTCTGTTATATTCTGCTTGTTCAAATGGGAGATAGTTTTCTCTCCATTTGTGATAATAGACATTTCAAACACATGAAGTATAAGCCATTTTAATTCCTTGCAACCCAAATCTATTGTTGCAATACAATCTCAAATAGAAAACCCTTTCTAAACTTGAATAAACGTTATATTTTTATTGGTTCCTAGTCTTTCGAAAATTTTTTGGAATCTTGGTATGTAGGATGCCTTAAGTGTTGGATTGATTCCTTTATCTGCTAGTTCGATCAACGATGTCCAATTTAGAGGAAAAAACAAGCTTTTTATGTTACGATGATTAAAACCAAATTGCGACTACCTCCATTATCTATTGGCAATAAAATTCTACATCTTAAATTTTTTTCATCATAAACTTTTCTACTTCCGGAATAAAGCTATCTTTAAACCAATCTTTAAACAAATTTTGCATCATCCAGGCCTTTTTATACGTACGATTTATTATCGTTGATTTTACTACACATGTGAAGGGTAACACGATCTTTCCAAAGGTTTGCGGTGCCTGCTTATCAATTTTTGAAATGAAAGTTCGAGACGGCAACTTCTTCCCGTAGAAAGTTGCCTCATTGGCGTTGAAAATTTGATCGCTTTTCAGTAATATTGTGGCATTTTCAGTATATATGTTTGGGCACCCTCTACATCTGCTGAAACTTGCTCTCATTTTAATTTTATGTTACGCAAAGAGAACCTTTTTTTCAAATTTTCAAACCACCCTTTACTTATCAAAAGGTTGAGCTGTCCTTTAGAAAGAAGTTGATCTTTCTTTAAATGTGCGTAAATTCTGAATACTTTTTGTTTAACAATATTTTTGCTCAAAGGGATATGTATTCCTCGTTTGCCGGGAACACGTTCTACACCTTGCGAACAACTAGGGGCAATATTTTTTCTAATTTCACTTTCTTTTTTTAATATGGCTCGACTGGTAGCTTCGTTTAAATTTAATGATTTCCCTGGATTTTATACAATCTAAAATTCCAATTTTTTCTTCGAGTGGAACACATTTTCATATAAACATTTGCTTTTTTATCTTGTCAGGCATTATCTAAATTTAGAGTCCAAAATTAGATGTACTACAAGTTAATTTTTTACATACCTTAAATTAAAAATATTACGCACTTATAAGCATTCAAAAGAGTCATTATTTACATTGCACTTTGTTTTCACTCTTCGTTATTTATTTCTAAAGATGTTAAAAAAAGCAAAGGAAAACTTTATCAATCTCATTTACCAAGAACAAAACGCTTACCGTCAAAAAGAAAATCAGAGTTTTTTGCAGCAGTAAGGTTTGGAACTCCCTTTGTTGAACGAAAATGATACAAAACACTCTCGTATAACACGATACTTGTAAAATACGATTTCGATAGAGTATAGTACGAATTAATCGTGTTAAGCGAGGGACGCTTGTATTCAATTTTTTAAAATCGTTTTATATCAAAACCATATAATAAAGGATTCAAATTTTTGCGTCGTGTAATAGCGAATCTATGTTATAATAATTGCAAATATTGTACCGCGTAGTATCGACACCGTCTTTTACGAGGGACATTCGTATGTATACTTTGAATCAGCATCAAGTTTTGAATCGATTTAAGCATGTCCGTCTGTCTCCTCATGTAATGCCTGTGGTAAATGTTCTCCTGGCCGCAAAAGTTAAACTATCAGTTTCAAATCAGGCACGAACATTAAAAGCTCTTGTGTATAAGTTTGTATTGAAAATGGGCTAAACTGGTTAAAAAACACACCTATAATACATTTGTTTTCCAAGAGAACAAAAATTCCTTAACAATTCACTACACATAAATTTGATCGTATAAAAGACCGGCCACGTCTACCCAAGATTATAGTGCATCGAAATTTCATTTTTTTTGTCAAAACATATTAAACGCGCAAAAGCAAAGTTCAAAAACCTCGTGAAATATAAACATTTTTGACCCAAGCCTAATTCGGAAGCTAATTAAGCATGCCCGTCTGTCCATTTGCCTGTCTGGCCAAGTACGCAGTGTCTGTGATAAATATTTTCCCACTCGCAACAATGAAGATATCGACTACATATTTGCGAAAAACATGAAAATGGTCCAAATCGATCAAACGACATGCATGCAATGCAACAAAAACTGAGAAACCATTTGTTTGCCGTGTGCTTCGCTCATTATTTAAAAACTACACATAACATATGATAAAAATGTCCACTTTTGTTGTACAAAAATAGAAAAAGTCCCCCACGCGCATGCAATATTATAGGTCATGACAATTATCTCCTTTTTTTCGTCTTCTTTAGGATAACGGCGATGAGCATAAAAGATTCAGTCACAGCTGAATATAATTTTCTTACCTGTTCATGTGTGATATTAACTTAAAAGTTTTGTTTATTACATGATATGAAATTTGGTTTACGCTGTGTACTATTGTACAACAAATGAAAAAGAAGC